GGCGCTCCTACTTCTCTCCCGCCCCTGCTTCTCCCCAGCGCCCTGCGACGGGTGGCCTGTCGGTCGCTCTGGGTGCACTGCGACGCCGACCCGCAGCTTCTGCCAGATTGGACCCTCAGCCAGGCCGCGCCCACGCACTCGCCGGAGCCTCGCTGCGTGAGTGCGCCCCCTCTTCCTGCGGACGCCTCCCCCCCTCATTCCCCCCTTTTGCATGCGGGCTAATTCGCGACTCCGCGCCCCAGTTTCGCTTGGACGCGCGTGCAGATTGCCCCTGTCGCGCCGCGACGGAAAAAGTATGTGTGTGTGCGTGTGTGCGTGCCTGTGTGCGTGCTGTGCTGTGCTGTGCTGTGCTGTGCTGTGCTGTGCTGTGCTGTGCTGTGCTGTGCTGTGCTGTGCGTGCGTGCGTGTGTGTGTGTGTGTTCGTTCGTTGCCCGCCCATAGCGGGGACACCGTATCCTCGCACCGTCTCATACCAGGCCGCACGCCAAGGCAAGCAATGCCGGCTGCAGTGGATGAGGGGGAGGTACGTGGGTGGGGCACGGTCCTCTGTGCGGCCACCCAACGCCAATATACACACCCCGCACAGTGCTCTTGATGCACCCATCCACCAGGACCGGTCCCGTCCCGGAACTGGGCACACCGACACACACGCGACACGCGAACAACCCACGCCACCTCGGTGGGTGCCGCTGTCGGTTTTTGTGGGTGGACCAGCCCGTTCAGGGCGGTGTGACGGGGCAGCACCTGCACCACGCGACTCCACACAAGGTTCGCTGTAGCATGTGGGAACGCGGGTGGGTGAGAGACCGTGCTTGAGCCACACGTGTGTATGTGTGTGTGTGAGCAGGGGAGGAAGGGGAATAGAAAGGCATCGGAAGTATTCCGAAGCCTCGAGAATGGTGTGTGTGTGTGTGTGTGTGTGTGTCTGTGTGTGTGCCTGCGTGCGTGCGTGCGTGCGTGCGTGCGTGCGTGCGTGCGTGCGTGCGTGCGTGTGGCCATTCTGGCTCAGTCCTGTTTAACCCCTCTCGAGCCGAGCCCGTTTGGGGGGCCGCTCGGGCCCAGGAGCCCGACCTCCCTGGCAGGGTCCAGGCTTCCCCGCCCACCCACCCCTCGTGAGGTGCGGCCGGGCCGCCCGGGGAGTGGTGGAGGCAGAAGCGACTGAAGGCGTTGCCCACTCCCCTTGGCTGCAGGGCCGCTGGCAAAGGCAGTCGGCACGATGTAATTTCAATTATGTTTCTTCTCCGGCCAAGTTTTCACCAAAGGTTGCGGGGCAGGGAGCGGCATGGGCCCTTCGGCAGCCTTGTAAAAAAGCTGATTCCCTCGCCCCTCGCCTCTGTGAAGGCTTGCAGGGGGGCCTACGCGTGAATGTAGCCTTGTGTTGAGAGGATACGCAGGGTTCGGGGCCCTCCGAGACGGCATTTGGCGGGTCCTGGGAGGGCCCGGAGAGGGCCCCAAGAGGGCTCCAAGCGTTCTGGCCAGGAGCTCTATGGGAGAAGCCAGCCGTGACAACGAGGGCGCCCCTCGGGAAGCCCAGACGAGGGCCCGAGAGCCTCGGTCCTCGATGCCTCGATGCCTCGATCCCACCATCCTCGACCGTCGTCGTCGTCGTCGTCGTCGTCGTCGTCCTCGTCGTCGTCGTCGTCGTCGTCGTCTGCCTCGACCGCCGAGCCCAGCGCGCGAGGCGCTGACCGAGCTGCACACCGCGAAGCGCCTGGCGCCCGCGTGCGCGCTGGCCTACGGCAACATCGGCGGCGCGTACCACCTCAGCGGTGACGGGCGGCCCTTGTCCCCGCTCCCACTTACTCCCGCTTTTTGTCCTTCCCCTCCTGCTCTCCCTTCTCCTTCTCCTCCTTCTCCTCCTCCTCCTCCTCTTCCTCCTCATCCTCCTCATCCTCATCCTTCCCCCTCCGGGTCCTCTTTTTTCCTTTCATTAACCAAATTTGAACCCTACGATTGTGGCGTTCTTCTTTCTCCTCCTGCTCCCCCTCCTCCTCCTCCCCAACCCCATGATCTCTCGCCCCCTCCTCGCCCCCCCCCCAGTAAGGATTCCCTTGGTAAGGACTCTTGTAATTAGTATTGATGCATCACGCGTCCTTATTTCAGCACGGGTTCCTCTGTAAGGATGCTTGGAATAGCGGGGTCTTTTGTAACGATGTTTCTAATAAGGCTTCCTGAGTGATGACGCCTGTAGAGAGGAGGCACCTCGGCGAATACCACCACAGCAATCACTTCATATGTGTATTTCCTTTGACAAGTACTCCTTCATAAGGATGCGGATTCCTCAGTAAGGATCCCATTGCACATTGGGCCCTGAGTAAGGATATGTTTAGCGAGGTTTCCTTAGTAGGATTCCTTTCGTAAGGGTCTCAGTAAGGGCCCCTGTTCTAAGGACTCCTTATCCATATTTCCTCAGGAATAGGGCGGTGTTGGCGGCGATATTTTTGAATGGTTCTTTTGATTGGGCGGGGAGGGGGAGGGAACAAGCTAGGCGCGCTAGGGTTACATCTGACGTCCTACCCCTCCCTCCCATCCCTTTCCATGGCGTATCCTATCTATTTTCACAGTCGGATGTTGAGCAGGGCAAAGATCCCCAGAGGGTACGCGATGGATGGAAGAGCATGGCGTAGAAGAGCACGGCAGAGCATTGCATGTCATAGCATGGTGTGGCATTGCGTAATGAACCAATGCATCACAAAGCATAGCAACTCAAACCATGGCATCGCACAGCGGTGCACAACACAGCATCGTATTGCATGCCGTGGCATGGCACCAGATGACTTGGAGGGTAAGTGGCCCGTCTGCGAGAGGACAGGGCCTGTCCGGAATGCCGGTTACATGTCCTCCGCAACCGTGCTTGCTTGATGTGGGCGCTTTCGAATGCCAAGTGCCGTCCGGAGGCGTGGGAACGAGGGTTGTGCTGCAGCGGGAGCATGATTTTGAATGTCCGAAGCGCAGAAGTGAGGGCGGCGCTGCAGCGGGAGCACCGTCTTGGAAGAACCAGAGACGACCGGATCGAAACAGCACGTAGGAAAAACCGAATGATGAAATTTGGGCAGGACGGGGCACTCTCCAGACAGTCAGGGGAGAGAGGAGAGTAGTATATACATATAACGGCGCACCGGGGCCAGGGGCCCGAGGCCAGCCCCTCGACCACAAATGTGGGTGTGCAGGCCCTCGGGGGGGCTCCAAGGCCGGCAAATAATGCCACGGAAAAAGCGACGGCGCACCGGGGCCAGGGGCCCGGGGCCGGCCCCTCGACCACAAATCTGGGTGTGCAGGCCCTCGGGGGGGCTCTCAGGCTTGCAAAATGCCACGAGAAAGCGCCAAGAGAACCCGAAGACACTCCAAGAGGGACCCGAGACGCCCAAAGGCCGCTCCAAGACGCCCAAGACGGTTCCGAGGCGGCCTCAAAAGCTTCAAGACGGCTCCAGAGACCCCCAAGAGGCTCCCAGGAGGGCCCAAAGAGGATCCCAAGAAACAAAATTCATTGATTTTTCAATTGTTTTTTGTAAGGTTTTTGGGGTTCCCGCCTTTTAGGCTTCCCGACGCTCCATGACGGCCAAGAAGGCCCCATGATCGCCCCCGAGGTTCCCCAACACGCCCAAGAGAGACCCAAGAGGGCCCAAGACGGCCCGAAAGGGTCGTCCTGTGGGGCTCACGGAACCCCCCAAGACGGCCCAAGAGGCCCCGAAGCCGGCCCAGGAGGCCCCCAAGACGGCCTCAGGGAGGCCGAGGGCCTCGCTCGACATCATGTTCCCCGAAACCTCTCCGGGAACATGACTTCCGGGCTCCCCGGACGCCCAAGAGGCCCACAAGACAGCTTCAGCGAGGCCCCAGAGGGCCCGAGATGGCTTGAAGATGGCCGAAGAGGACCCCAAGAGGGCCTTCAAGAGGCAACAATCGGCCCGTTCCCGTCGTAAAACGTACATGTTCAGCATACTCGCTGGCTTCGTCTTCACAGTGCCCCAGACGCCCTCGCGGAGCCCCAACACAGCCCAAGAGAGACCCAAGAGGGCCCAAGACGGCCCATAAGGGTCGGCCTGTGGGGCTCACGGAACCCCCCAAGACAGCCCAAGAGGCCCCGAAGCCGGCCCAGGAGGCCCCTAAGACGGCCTCAGGGAGGCCCAAGAGGGCCCCGCTCGACATCATGTTCCCAGAAGCCTCTCCGGGAACATGATTCCTGGGCTCCCCGGACGCCCGAAGACAGCCCCCCAGAGGCCCCGGACACGCCGAAGATGGCCTCGGGACGGCCGACGACGCCGCCAAAACGCCCCAAGAGCGCCTCCAGACGCCCGTCCAAAGGGACCCAGAAGCCGAAAATCATGCATTTGCCAATGGTTTTGAAGCATTCTTGCGCTCTCCCATGTTCCGCCTCCCCACGGTCCCCGACCGCGTCAGAGGCCCGTCAGATCGCTCCAAGACGGCTGAAGAGGCTCCCAAGAAAGCCCAGAGACGGCCCAGGAGGCTCCCCAGATAAGTCAAGAGGGCCTCGAGAGCGCCCCAAGAGAGCCCCAAGAGCGACCCAAGAGGGCCCGAAGAGCGCGGCATTTCAAGGTCTCCGGCCTGAGAGGCTCCTAGGACGCCCCCGGAGGCCATCAAGAGGCTCCCAAGAAGCCCCGTGAGGCTCCCAAGAGGTCCCCCAGAAGCCCCAATAGGCCGTCAAGGGGCCCCCAGGGAAGCCCCCTGCGGGCCCCCAAGACACTTCGGTAAATCGTATTTCCCAGATAGCTTTCTGGGAACATGATTCCTTGGGCTTCCGCCCACCGCGCCAACCATGTTTCCAATAGGCTTGCCGACAAGGCCAAAAGGCGCCCCTCGGTAAGCCCCCAGAGGCCCCTCTCTTAGAGAGCCGAACAAATCATGCTCCCGGAAAGCTGCCCGGGAACATGATTCTTTCTCGGAGTAGGCCCGGGGGGGGGCGGGCCGCTGCCTGTTCCCCCCATCGGTGCCCACCGGGGGTTGCGGGGGGGGTCTAGAGCTCCCGAGGCGGCCCGAGACCGCCCCGAAGCAGGCCACGAGGCCCCGAAGACGCCCAATATACCCTCAAGACAGCCGACGAGAACTCCAACACGCTCCAGGACGGACTCGAGAGGCTCCCCAAGAGAGAGGGCCCTGGAAGGCAAGATTCGCTCGTTTTCCAAGTGTTTTGGATTTTGGCGTTCTCGCTTTTCCCGCTTTCCAGCGCTCCCTCACGGCCTCGGAGGTCCTTCAGATCGCTCCAGGAAGGCCCACGAGGCCCCGACGAGGGCCCCAAGACGGCCCAGGAGGCTCCCCAGACAACCCAAGTGTGCTCCAGGAGCGCGCCGAGAGAAGGCCCAGAGGGGTCCCGAGACGGCCCGGGCCCGCCCCGAAGCAGGCCACGACAGGCCAAAGGAGGTCCCGAGAGGGCCCTAGACGGTCCCGAGAGGAGAGGCCCCGAAGACGCCCAAGATGCCTTCAAGACGGCCGACGAGGACTCCATTACGCTCCAGGACGGACTCCAGAGGCTCCCCAAGAGGGCCCTGGGAGGCAAGATTCACTGGGGGTGCGCGCACGACAATGTTGTGCCTGTCGCGTCTTGTCGCTCCCCCCCTCGCTTTGCCGAGAGCCTTTGGCTCTGCAGATCAACCGGAAAGTTGGCGGCGCGCATGGTGGCCGCCGGGCTTGCTCACTGGCAGTGGGCGATCCTGGCCGTGCTTGCCTCGCTGCCCGAGCTGCGCTGGCTCACGCCCGAGGCGAACGAGCCCGCAGCGGTCGGTCCTAGCGTGGAGGTTGTGGCCACCTCGACGCTTGATCGGCTGAGAGACCAAGGCCCCCGCCCCCACCGCCGTGGCCGTGGCGCAGGCCGAGGGCCAGGAGGGCAGCCAAGGCCGGGCCGCCCCCGAGTGTCGCTGCGAGCGTGGCGACTCCGAGGTGCCCTCCGGCGGCTGGGCTGGCGTCCTGCTGGGCCTGCTGACGTTCGGACTCCAGGTGCGCGCCTGGCTGCAGAGTCGTCGAGATGGCGCTGCTGCCGAGAGGCCAGAGAAGCGCGAGGCTGGCGCTGGAGACGGGGCTCGTCGGCACCGAAGAGGCTGCATCGCCTAGGCTTCAGCCTGGGCAGACTGTGGCGGTGAAGTATGGCGAGGACGCGCTCTGGCACGAACGGCTTCTGGTCGGCACGAGTGTTGAGGAGTTGGGGGCGTCGCCAGGCTGGAACTGGCGCATCATCACGCCTGACGGAGATGAGTATGACGAGGCGCTGGGTGGCAGCCAGCCGGGGCCGCATCGGCTCGCGATGCTTTCGCTCGACGGGAGCCCGCCTAGAGTGCTGCGCGGAAAGTTCTACAGGTTCAAGGAGTACCCGACCGACGAGCAGCTGGTGCGGAAGGCGGTGGAGCACTACCGCATGCAGGCCCTGGCTGGGACTCCCCAGCGCTTGCCCGACGACTACGTGGCCAGCGCCGGGGAGGTGGCGCCGTGGCCCGACGAGGCCCGACGAGAGATGGAGGCGGCCGTGGTGCCACATGACGGCGGCGGCGTCGGGGGGATCGCGGGGGCCCCGCAGCCCCTTGGTCGGGCGCCGCCCGGCTGCTGGTGCTAGATTGTGTTCGGGTTCGAGGGGCCCGACGCCGTCGGGGAGGTGGTGGGGCCAGCCGACGGCGTGGACGCCCCTGCGGGCTCGTGCACGATGCTGAAGCAGTACGCCAATGACCTGTGCGTCAAGTGCCAGCCGTTGAAGATGTCCGAAGCGGATGGCCGCGTCCGTGAGCTCCTCGCTCTGATGGCTGCGGCGGTGAAGCCCACGATCCACGAGAGCGACGCGGGCGGCGGGAAGGGCACAGACACTCCAATCGCTGGGCCACCCGCCGCGGTCGCCGAGGACTGTCGCACCTTGTGGGTAGACTTCGACCCCCGGGGTGAGCGGTTCAAGGAGTGGAGGCAGGTGTGTCCGGAGCCCCGCTCAGAGAAGTGGGGCGACGGGCCCGTGGAAGGGCCGGCCTCGCTGCTGCGCTGGATGAGCCAGACCTCCCGCAATGGCGGCAATCCGAAGGTCTGGCTTGCAGAGTTCTGTCGGGGTCGTCGGATCGAGAAGACCTGACAGGGTGTTCCACGAGTTGCACAACCTGATTGAGGTGGTGTATATTGGGGGTGCCCATAACCAGCTGAATATGCCGGCGTTGCAGAGCTTCGAGCGCATCAGCCGTCGGATCGCCACCATCGTGGATGCCTACAGTGGCTCAGGCGCTCCTTCGTGGCGGATGGCTCGACATTATGAGGGTGTCATGGGAGTGCTGGACAGCGTGTCCCCCGCGCTCCGTCAGTGGGGCCCCAGGGAGGCGAAAGACGAGAATGAGCTGAACACGGCCCGCGCGCGCAACCTGAAGGGCGGGGCCGACGAAGAAGATGAGGGAGCTGGCGGCGGCGAAGGAGACAGCGAACCTGAAGGGCCGTGGCCGCGGCTCCGCCCCAAAGCCATGACGGCTCACGGGGGCCGGGAGATCGCCCCCGACCCGGCCCCCCCACGCGTGGGAGCCGGCCGCGTCGTTGCGTCGAGAGGCGTCAGGGATCTCCCCCCCTTGCCGCGCGAGGAGAAGCCCGAGCGCCTCGTTGGCCGTGGAGGACGTAGGCTGCAGAGGTGGCGTCGCCGCCGCCGAGAGAGTGAACTGGTTGACGGCGCCGCGTCGGCGCTTAATTGGGCACGCGGCTGCGCCCTTGGACACGTCGCCCAGGGGGGGCCCGATGACATGCAGCATGATGTGCTTGAGTACGTGCATGGGCTGGCCCAGGGCGAGCAGCGTGCGCGCCGACTTCTTGATGCACCTTCTACGCAAGTGGCCCCGCGGTAGTTGCTGCGAGGCCGCGGGGGCGGCCGACGACTCATTGGCGCCCTTCCAGCAAGGCCGACTGTCGCTGCCAGAGTCGGTAGAGGGCTCTCCTCAATTTGGCGATGTCCGCGGCAGGCGCGGCCACTACTTCCTGGAGCGGGAGGGCGAGCGCATGCTTATGCCCGTTGTCGAGGTCATGGCCGATCTCGAGCGCGACGGCGCTCGTTGCTACTGCGACCCCGCCTTGGTGAAGCACAGGACTGTGTACGTGACTTTGTTGAAGGATCTGATGTGCCGTGAAGCACAGGACTGTGCACGTGACTTTGTTGAAGGATCTGATGTGCCGCGGGCTGCTCGATTTCATGCTCGAGCCGCTCGAGAACTCTGGCATCTTCTGCGTCTGGAAGAAGGGCCGCGAACGACGGCGACTTATCCTAGACGCGAGGCGATCCAATCAGCGGTTCAGGCGGCCGCCTAGCGTGGACCTGATCACCGCGGAGGGCCTCAGCAGCATCGAGTTCGATACGGGCCCGGGCGAAGAGCTCGACGACGAGCTGGTGACGTCCTCGGCCGAACGACTCTCGGTGACGGCGGGCGTGGCCGACGTGAAGGGCGCGTTCCACAGGCTGAGGGTGCCGCTCTTCTTGCGGCGCTACTTCTGCTTCCCCTCGGTGCGCAGCGGCGCAGTCGGCTTGGCTGGCCATGTCGTGGAGGGCGTCGCGCTGACGGGCAACGAACAGGTGTGGCCTTTTCCCGTCGCTTTCCCCATGGGCTTCTCCTGGAGCCCGTTCTTCTGCCAGGTGTCGGGGGAGGAGCTGGCTTGCGCTGTGCCGCCGCTAAGCCCCCACAGCCTCCTGCGAGATCGCGGACGGCCGTTGGCGCTGGGATGCGAGCGCGGAGAGGCTCTCCGCCACTACATCTACGTGGATAACATGGGGATCGCGGGGGCAGAGTCGCAGCGCGCCAGGTCGACGCTTGACGGAGTGACCGCGGCTTTCATGCGGGAGGGGCTGCTGGTGCACGAGCAGGCCGCGACGTCGGGCGTGTCCGACGCGCTGGGCGTCGAGATCGACGGGCAGCCGATGCAGACCCGAGCCTCGGGGAAGTGGCGGCTGCGGGCGCGGCGGGCCATCGCGGGGCTGCTGCAGCGCGGCCGGTGTTCAGGGGGCGCTCTGGAGGCCCTGCTGGGCCACCTGGCGTTCCTTGCGATGGCTCGGCGACCTGTCCTCTCCTGCTTCCACTCCTGCTATGCTTTCGTGCAGAAGAACTACCCCATCAGCGCCCGACTGTGGCCAAGCGTGGTCGAAGAGCTCCAGGCGTTTGCCTGCTCAGTAATCTTCTTGTGCAGTTACTGGGCCCGACCATGGAATCGGCTCGTCGTCGCTTCGGATGCTTCCGAGTTCGGATGCGGAGGGGCTGAGGCTCGGTGGCCGTTGAAGTTTGCGCAGCAGACAGGTAGGAGTCGCGAGAGAGAAAGGTTTCTAGTCCCTGAGTGAATGCCCGTGTGTCGGCTTAGGGTCTCGAGGGAGTCTGCGAGAAGTTGTCTAGGGACCTGCTTGGTAGTGATGGGGCCACAGGGCTCCGAGCGGCGCTCCCCCCTGCCATGCAGGGCGTGGGCCCCGAGTTTTCTGAGGTGCCGAGGGTCGGTCTGGACCAAGAGCTCTGGCGCCCGACCTTTTGGGGCCCCTGGCGCTGGAAACAGGGGATTGTGCATCTCGAGGCTCGGGCCCTCGCGATGGGCATCCGCGGGGTCGCTTCGGTGTCTTTCGGGCGTGCCTTGCGACAGCTTCTCCTAGTGGACAACGCGGCTGTGTGTCTTGCCTTCGATAGATGCCGCGCCTGTGATTCTCTCCTTCTGAACCAAGTGCGCCGGTTCTGTAGTTGCTGCCTTGCCAAGAATCTGCATGCAGTGGCGCGCTGGATACCGTCGGAGCTAATCAGTGCTGAGGGCCCCTCCCGAAGTTACGACCCGAAGCAGGGGGTATAATGCAAGTCCAGGGGGCAGGGCAGTTGCAAGGTTGATCGAGCCAGGGCGGGCTCTCAAGAGTTGTGTCCGAAAGAGGCTGAGGCCCCCCCCCCCGCTTTGCCGCCGAATCGTCCGTCACCGCCGGGTCGCGTGGCCATCTTGGCTCAAGCCGGCGGGGCCCTAGCCCCTTCTGGCTGCCCGCGTGATCCCGTTTCGATCCGCTCCGAGTTCCCTCGAGCAGTTCGATGGCCGCTGACGGGCGCCCAGACGCCTGATGAGGCGTCGGTTGCTGACGGCGCCGTCGGCGGGCGAGCGCCCCGTGGGCACGGCGGCCGCCGCCCGCAAGCGTGCGCTGGAGCATCCCGCGAAGGCGGGCGAGGAGCAGAAGCCGAGGCGGCGTCGGCTGTTGCCTGGCGCTCCTCTGCCGGGAGGTTGTGCGACGACGGCCGCGCGGACCCTGCCGGCAGCGTGGGAGACACTCGTGGGGCACGGGCAGACGTTCCGCGCCACCCGAGCCGCCGGGCGGTCGCGCTTGGGTGCTGCAGCGTCAATCAGCTCGAGCAGCACTGGCACCGCGGGCGGGAGGCGCTGCAGCGTCAATCAGCTCGATCAGCTCAATCAGTCATCCGAGGGCGCCGCGCCGCCGGCGGGAGGCCGCGAGAGGGTGCTCTGGAGGCCCCGCAAGCGGCGGGTGCTGGCCCATGTGGAAGAGGCCTGGGACATGCTGAGCGCAGGCACGAGTCTCCTCGAGCAGAAGGCGGCGCAGCAGCAGACCCGCAAGCAGTACCAGGAGGAGTTGGACCGCTGGCAGGAGCTCGCAAATCTCGGAGACCTCAAGCTCGTGAGCGACGAGAAGGTGGACGAGATGCTGGTGCGCTACTTCGAGCGGGACTTCTTCCTGGGAGAGCAGGCTCATCGCGGGGCCAAGCTGCTCGCCGCGCTGATGCATGCGGAGCGGGGGTTTGGCCGGAACGGCAGCCGCCGGGTGCCGCGAGCATGGCGCGCCCTGAAGGGGTGGAGGCGTCTGGCGCCAGGACGGTTACGCCGGCCAGAGCCGCTCTGTCTTTGAGCGGGGATGGCCAATGAGATGATGTCCCGAGGCGTGAGTACTACCTGAGGCCGAGCAGTTTGCTGGCCCTGGGGCCAGAGAGCTGCCTCGCGCCGAAGCGGCCCGACGGCCGCTGGAGCCTGCTGGCGCACCCCGCGGAGCGCGGGGTGCCAGACAAGATCGGAGAGTTCGACCACTCGATGCTGCTGGGCAGCAGTTGGCTCCAGTTCATATCCCCTCTCCTGCGTACCTTGTCAAGGCAGGCGGAGGAAAGGGCGGTCTGGGGATTCGCGTATTACGACTATCTGAAGGTGTTCACGGAGTGTGCGAAGTCCCTGGGCGTCAATGTGGTACTGTACCAGACCAGGCATTTTGGGGCCTCGATCGATCGGGAGTCTCGAGCGAGAACATTGGTCGAGGTCAAACAGAGAGGGGGCCGGAAAGCGGACAGCAGTGCGATGATATACGAGAAGCACGCTCGATTTCGCCACAGCGAGTTGCGCCACAACAGAGACCTCAGCGAGCATCTCCAGGCATGCGAGCGACACTTAGAGGACATGATCCTGCGGGGCAAGATGGTAACTCGCTGCGCCTGAAGGTAATGGGGGACCGCTGGTTCGTTGACCTCTTCTCGGGGACTGGCGGCTTCTCCAAGTGCCTCTGGAATGAAGGATACGCTTTTTAAAGAGCTAGAGATCAAGAAAGGTTTTGATGTCTTTGATAACATGTCACGTCTGAGACTTCTGATCGACGTTCGGTCGGGAAGAGTGGCCGGCGCGATGATAGCCTTGCCCTGCGCTAGCTTCTCAATCGCTCAGAATGGCAGGCTGCGTTCGGACGCGTATCCCCTAGGGCTCCCAGGTTTGGCTACCGAGCTGCAGTCTAAGGTCGATCACGGGAACGCTCTGTTACAAGCTAGCTTGCAGTTTATTAGAGCGTGTGTAACGCAAGGGATCCCGTGGATTTTGGAGAACCCTGGAAGTTCTTATGTCTTTAAGACGCCTGCCTTTCGAGAGTTCTTAGATCTCGGCTGGTGTTTTGAAATCGTCTGCGATCAGTGCCAATATGGAACTCGCTGGAGGAAGCGCACAAACATTCTGATTGGAAATATCCGTCGCGAGGACTGTTCGCGACTTGAGAGACAGTGCCGTTGTAGACGGGGCCTGTGCTACTGGAAAAGCGCAATGGCATCTCCAAGGTAGAAACGTCTCTGGGGTCCACTGGACCGCTATCGCGGCCGAATACCCCAGGCCTCTTGCCCGTGCGTTGGCTTTCTCCCTCCTCTCCCCTGTCCGCTCTCAACTGCAATCGTGCTAACTATTCCCTGCCAGCGCTGTCCCAAACCAATGCCAGTAAGCTCGATATTGGTCGTTAAGTGAACATCCGTAATTGGGCTGTTGAGGGGCAACTGGCAGCGGCTGCGCGTAGACGCTGCCACTGAGTTTCGAGACGTATCTCCGCTCAGCGGAAGGCAAAACATGGGGGTGCGCGCGCACGAAAATGGTGTGCCTGTCGCGTCTTGTCGCTCCCCCCCTCGCTTTGCCGAAGGCCTTTGGCTCTGCAGATCAACCTGCCCTCCCACCACGCCCTTTTTATTTTTTCTTTGTTCGTCACAGTCAGTGACTCACCATGGGGCAACTGGCAGCGGCTGCGCGTATACGCTGCCACTGAGTGTCGAGACGTATCTCCGCTCAGCGGAAGGCAGAACATAATTGTCCGATGGTTTTTGATGGATTTAGGCGTTCTCGCTTCCCCCGCTTCCCAGCGTTCCCTGACGGCCTCGCTCGGAGGCCAGATCGCTCCAAGACGGGCCACGAGGCCCGGAAAAGGGCGCCAAGACGGCCCAAGAGGCTCCATAGACAACCCAACTGTGCCCCAAGAGCTCCCCAAGAGAGGGCCCAGAGGGGGACCGCCAACCGATATTTCGAGGTCTCTGGCCCTAGAGGCCGCCTGTAGGCCCCCGGAGGCCACCAAGAGGCTCCCACGAAGCTCCGTGAGGTGTCCAAGGGGCCCCCAGGAAACCCCAAGAGACCCCCAAGGGGCTCCCAGGGAACGACCAAGAGGCCCCCCAACACACCCCTAGAAATCATGTCCCCAGAAAACCTTCCAGGGACATGGTTCATCATGGGCCCGAGAGTTCCCGGAGGCCCCCAGGGGCCCCCAGGGAACGCCCAAGAGACCCCCCAACACACCCCAACAAACCATGTCCCCAGAAAGCCTTACGGGACATGGTTCATCATGGGCCCGCGAGTCTCCGGAGGCTTCGAAGTACCATCATGCTACCGTCTGGGAAGTTGATTGGGAACATGACTGATCGCCTTCTCGCGGCCCTCCGCAGATCGTTTCGCACAAACTTGCCCCAAGTGCCCTCTTGAACCGACGACGACGACGACGACGACGACGACGACGACGAGACGACGAAGACGACGACGACGACGACGACGACGACGACGACGACGACGACGACGACGGCGTGCCCCAATAGGCGACGACGACATTACGACGACGACGACGACGACGGCACGCCCCAACAGGCTCCCCAAGACGCCCCAAACCCATGCTCCCAGAAGGCCTTCTGGGAACCCGATTCATACGGCCTCCGCCCCCCTACACAGCCATTTTCCTCGAAGGCCTTTCGGAGTGCAGATTGGCATGCGTGGACTGTGGTCCACTACTTCAGTGGAGCAATGAATTCGTCAAGGTTTGGGGCCTGCTAGAACCTGAGCGCGCGCGAAGCGCGCGCGATGGTTCTAATACATATTTTTGTACTTGTAGACCAAACAACAAAAAATACCCCCCCTCCCCCGCCGCCAGTTTTTAGCATGAATATATATATATATATATATATATATAGAATGTTTTCTCCCTCCTCCGCCCAGCCAGCCTGGAGAGGAGGTCATATCTGCCAAAACAGGAATCAGGGGAAGAGTTGCAGGAGGAGGAGGAGGAGGAGGAGGAGAATCGCGCAAATGAGTTCGGAGAGCATTCGATGACGCGAATGATGCACTCCCCGCTACAAGAACGCAGGACAGGAGACCGCAAAGAAGTATCCAGAAAGGCCCCAGCGGCCGCATGCTCCGCAATTGCCCCTCCTCCTTCTGTTCCGTGTGGACCCAGGAGGTCTCGAGCCCCGCCCGCGGGACCCGCTTCTCGCCCCGAGTCGTCCTGCCACGGCCGCGGGGCGCGGCAACGGCCCAGCGCCTCTCCGCCGCGGTCGCTTCGCGACGCGAGGGGGTCCGGGCCCTTCCCCCTCCAGCAGCGAGGAGGAAGCTGGCGCGGCTGAGGTGGCGAAGGCCCCGGAGCGCCCAGGGGGGGAAGCGCCAGGCCTCGGAACAAAAATAACGAACACTCATGCCACATTCATCTGTGAACGCCTCCCCCTCCCCCCAATGTTCAAAGTTGGCGGTGGGTCTGATGAGTTGCACCTCGACCGCAGTCTCCCCCGCGCGTGCCAACTTTGAGTTTGGGGGGCAGCGGGGGTGTTCACTGATTGTTTCCCTCTACCGGCGCGCCGCCCCAGGCGACAGCAATTCCGCCCTCGCGTGGTACCGCGAGGCCCCGCCGACTCCTCGGCGCGTGTGCCTGCCCCGGAGCATGCCGGTCGGGTGTCCGTCGGATTCTCCATCGGTCTGTCCAGGGGTCGACTCGTCCTGCCGCGGTTGTGCGCGGCAGGTCTGTGAATGGCTTCCAGCCAGCGATCGCTACAAGGTGTCGCCCAGACTGACGGCGCCATGAGAATTATCGCGAGAGGTTTAAATCATTCAGGGTTGGTTCGTAGAAATGCCGAGGAAGAGAGTGGCACAGGAGAGAGGGGGCCATGCTAGGATCAATGATCCATGTAAGTAGATAGTCCGATCCCCTTGGAACTACCAGCACAACAAGTACTACCCCTAACCCCACAGGCCCTATCCTTACACTGGGTGACAGCGATTAAGACACTGGCCTGCCGGCAGGTACCCCGCAGACATTTCTGATTCCTCGCTGGCCCTGTGCGGTACAAGCTGATCCTAGGGACACCCTACGAAGCTTTGCATCAGCGGGAGATGTGCCCCTAAAGTTCTTGTAGCAAGAGTTCCTATGTGTGCATGGCAGCTGATGTGACCCCGCCGCTGCGGCGTCACAGCGCCTGTTTCCGCCCCCACTTCCACGCCACATCGTCGTATGCACTCCTCGCGCCCAGAGCCCAGACAACGATCCCGGGCCCAGGACCGGTGCTCGTCCGGAGCCGCGCCGAGGGTCCACAAGAAGTCTTGGGCTCCCAGGCCCGGGATCGGGGCACACGCCCTCCTGACCAGTCCAGGGGGGCCGCTCCACACGCCGGCCCCCATCATTAGGCCCAGGACCAGGCCCCTCTTTCCTGCCGCAGTTTTCTCGCAATGTGAACCCCTGGAGGTCTCGACCCCTTCCCTGGGCCCGGCGCTCCAGCACGAGTCGTTTCTTGACGGTGCCCGGGGCCCGGCAGGGCCCCGCAGGCGCCGAAGATTGCCAAGGATCGTCGGTCGTATCCTTTTCGCGGCGCGGCGGGGTCTGGGGCCTCGTGCAGTCCAGGGCAGGGCCCAGCCCTGGATCGGTGCGGTTGCGCCTTGTGCCCTCCTGGTCGCGCCACGCCCGAGAGGTCCGAGAGACTGGCATCAGGGAGGGAGGGAAGGGAGGAGGAGGGAGGAGGGAGGAGGGAGGGAGGAGGGAGGAGGGAGGGAGGGAGGGAGGGAGGAGAGAGGGAGGGAGGGAGGAGGGAGGAGGGAGGAGGGAGGGAGGGCACTGGAGCTGTGTGCGCGTTCGGCCCCGCAGGGGCGACGCGCGCGCCCAGAGCTCTTGCAGTGCAAGAGCGGTGGCGGGCGCGTGCCAGCGATACCCATCGGTCGTTGAAAGGAGGTTTACGTCGGGCCTGTCCCTCTACAGGAGGGGTATTCTAAAATAGTATAGAAATAGTCTGGGGACGATGTTTTGACTATTTCTGATTACGTTTGATTAGTCTTGGACGTTTTTTTTTTTTTTTTTTTTTTTTTTTTCTTAATTTGTCGTCCAAAGTCCACCTGTTGTGGGACACGCCCGACCTAAAAGTAGGTATGTGTGGAGTCCCAGATTCCAATCTACTTTGAGCGACTTCCTACTTCAATGATCGAGTGGCTTCCACCATTTCCGTCCTCTTCAGGGGGCCTGCGGACACTCAGTCTGCTTTCCACGCCTTCCCACTCCATGTTTCTGCCTGCTTCTCCCGACCGATGGGTCAGCTCTACGATGCTTGTGCCACGCAAGTCTGGCTCGGACCTGCGCCTCCAAGGGGGGGGGGGCGCACAACACCGGCATGACCTGCTACGCCCCAGGAGCTCCGCTCCGCGAGGCAGACCCACCGTGCCCCCAGGCAGCAGGCCCCCGTCCGGCCCCGCCGCCAGATGGCCTGCGGCCAGGCCCGCGCTGCGCTGGCGCGGCGGCGGCACTGGCGCGGGCGCGTGAGGTTGAGCGCCGCGGATGGCCCAGAGTCGGCCGATGCCGGACGGTCCCAGCTCTCTGGCTGTGCTGATCTGTCGGGGGTGGATAGGCCTCCTACTTTGACACGTCGATTGGGGAATTGGCCGTTTTCGGTTCGCGAGAGGGCGTCGCGGCCGTTCTTTTTGTGGGTCCAGGTCCGTCGGTTTCGGTCCCAGGCCGTTTTCACTAAGGGGAGGTTTACTGAAGGGAGGTCTGTCCACCGCCGAATCTGTTCCACCCTGGCGCGTCTCCTCGGTTTCGGCCTCCTGGACCCGTTGCCGGGCCTCGGGATCGTCGAACGTGGATCTGGGACGGAACACCGGCCCCAGGGAAGATGCTGGGATCTCTTGGGGTTGCGGGTGGAACCAGATCACGTCGTCGGATGTCTGGACCAGCGTCGTCGACCACGCTTCCCGTGCAGCGGGATCTCTCCCGGAGGGCCGCAGGCCTTCGCTTTGGTGGACGCCGAGCTCCTCCTGGAGCCGGCCGATGCTGACGGTCAGAGCTGTCGGAGAGCCGCGATCGTTCAGGGTTGAGCGATCCACGCGGAGTCAGAAGCCGCAACGCAGAAGTCGAATGGAAAGAGGGGACTGAATCCTTGGACAACCTGCCCCCACCCCCGAGTGTCGCACTCAGACCTCCGACGTCCTTTGCCTGTTCCGCGGGGTCCCCAGAGCTTCCGTTCGTTTTCCGGGGACCCGTTGTTCGTTCGGGACTGTTTGTCGATGGACTGCTCGGAAAAGGCTCCCAGACTTATCTAAGGGTGATTTTTCAACCTCTAGTTGGCCAGGCAAACGTCGGCACTCAACACGCCAAACAGAGAAGGGGCTGCTCCCCTAATACTGCATCGGCTCGGGCGCCAAGGTTGCGGGCAAGCATTGTTGCCGCAGGCAGGGGGAAGTCAGTACAGCAGTGCTGTACACTAAAAGGAGCGCCAGTGCGTAGACAGGGAGAGGCACAACATGAAGACAGCGAAGCAGGGCGGCCCTGGGCTGTTTCTTTGTGCCAGCCTCTGCAAGTGCAAAGAAAGGTGCAAATTTCGGCCACAGCGCTTGTACCCGAGGGGACAAGTTATCTTCGGCCCTAAGCCGGCACACGGACAAGACGGCGGAGGAGCAAACACCAATCTTCGCATTCAGATGCAAGAGAGGGGGCGCTCTTGCTCATGCTCGTCTGCCTGCCACAATGGCTTGTCTTGACTGCGCGGCTCCAGCCGAGTCTGGACATGCGGACTGCCATCAGTACCCAGGCTTGAACGAGAAAACTTCGCCCCTTGCACAGCACGAACGACGGACGACGGAGGACCACGCACGGTATCTGTACGCCGAGCAGCTCCCTGCATGGCGCATGCACCATCCGGGCGGAGGCACACGGGCTGAGAGACGAGAGCCTGCGGGGGCGGGAGCGCACGCTTCTCAACAACGGGGGCTTCGCACGTGTGGTGCGCGTCGGGTGCACCGTCACTCTCGGCTGGGATCACGTGGGTTCTGGGCCGTCGCACTCACGCTCTCTCCTCACGGGCGGATGCCGGCGGGTCCTTGGAGCCTGTACGCGTCGATCCACGACAAAGACGCCCCAGAGAGAGGGGGAGGGCGACAGCAGTGGCAGCAGCGCACAAAGTGGGAAGCACGGAATTGTCCACAGTGGTTATGCCCACACGCCAGCTTGCTCTGTCGAGCAGACCCTGCCCGAACGTGTGCAGACCCATGGCGCAACTTCGGGGTGTGCCCGGGCTGCCTGCGCAGCCCTGCGTTCTCGTGCCTGCTCACGATTCTTCGCAATGCGAGCCCCTAACCTCATCTGTCAACAGCACTGGCTGGCTGGGGAGAGGGGAGGGGGGAGGAGGTGGTTGTGTCAAACCTGGGGTGCCTGACGGAGATTCGCCCAGAAATGACTGGGCATCTTTGCGCTTCATCAGCCTCTGGTGGCCCTGGCGGCCTCCGCGTGGCAGTGGGGTCCACGACGTCTTCGGCAGGCTCAGGTGGGTAAACACGACTAGTTTTGGGATCGGCCCATCGGGACCGAGACCTGCGGGACACGACATCTGGAGCCCGCTCCTCGTAGTGCCCCTGATAAGGATCCCGGGAAACATAAAGCTTAAAAAGCGCATCGCAGATCCCTGGGCCCCCCCCCTATAACCTCAGGCACCGCGTCGCCTCCACCTTCCGACATCGTTGGAATGGAATCGACAAGCTACCAGCCAGGCGCTTACATAGTCGGTCAGGGTACGTCTTTTCTTGGTGGTCCTCCATTCCCCGCGGGCCCCGTCGTATCCCAAGGCTTCGTGCCCTCGCCTCGCGTGTGAATATTTACCTCGCCCCTCCGTATCCAACAGGCGCCTGTGTAAGCCTGAGACTCGTATCGCTAGCCACGATCGTAGTAGGTGGTTTCGACGGTTGTCCATGCTCGCACTTATCGAAGTCGGTGGTTGTGACGGCTGGGGAGGATATCAGAGCCCTAAGAGGGTGCCACGTGAAGGACGTCATAGCTTGAATACGCCAGTCGCATGGCTGCGGATGTTCCATGCAAAAGCTTGTGCGTACTGGAGGTGTGCGGCGAGCAGTGCGGCCATCGCTCCTAACAGCGCATTTCCTGCACACGCCTGTTCCGTCCTCCGTGATGCGAGTGAAACCTTTCCCCAATATTCGTAGTGCGTCCGCAGTCGAGGTGGGCCGCTGCCTTCAGACCAACGCGCAGCGGACGAGGTCTCACACGGTGGACCCCCTCTCGACAAAGCGACCCGCTTCGCCAACACGTGCTCCTTTCACACGGCGAGTGTATCAGCGTTCACCACAATTCCAAGCGTCACATGGCTATATGCTATACCAGTAGAGAGTACAATAACAGCATAGTCGGTAAGGTAGTGTGCCGATTCCACCTGTGCCTGAATGCGTCCATCCCGTCTTCGACCACAGTACAGGTTCACTACAGACAGGTTCAATGCATAATACTCTACCCGACGCGCTCCACACGGGATAGGGTTTGCCGCACCCTCTGTATAACGTTCCGAAAGATCAAACTCGCAGGATATCTTGCGGTGTTCTGATCAGGTGGGTTGGCAGCATTCGGCAGCGGAGCTGGCAGCGGCGGCGGCGGTAGGCACTCGGCATCTGGATTTGTCGCCGCCAATCGTTCCCTAACCGCGTGCAGCGTCAGTGCCGCCATGATTTGATATGATGTGTCCAGCTTCCCGCTTCAGGGGCCTCGCTGTCATCATGGTCGGGACCGCCGCATGCCGCCTCGAAATCCGAACCCCGCCTATTAGCGAGCCCTCCGGGGGGCCCACATCGAATTGCTGGAAGTAAGATGCTGGATTCTGTCGCGCAGTAAATAAGACATATACAGACATCTCGGCAAGTCCGAAACCATACGAGCAATTGGATGTGACCGACTGGAACACTGGTAGGCACCCCGCGGAACGGAGCGACACGCCATCCGCCTGCACGGCATAGCGAGTCGCCGGGGCCGCCGCCGCGACACGTTGTCCCAAAGTTCCTGACCGTAGCATTCCGAAGGCCTCCCGATGGTCCCCGCCGAGAAGCCGCCCGAAGCCAGCCGAAAACCTCCCAGGCTCTCCGATTGCATTCCGATGGCCCCCCGACCGCCGCCCGGCACCCTCTCGGCCGCAGCCTCCGCGGCAGGCCTACCGCCTGACGCCCCGCGACGCGGACTGCGCGCGGGCCTTGGCGCACCTCGAGCGGCGGAGAGGCGCCTCGGCCGAGGCGTCGCAGGCACGGGCGGCGGCCCCGCCTCGTCGTCGTCGTCGTCGTCGTCGTCGTCGTCGTCGTCGTCGTCGTCGTCGTCGTCGTGGTCGTCGTCGTCGTCGTCGTCGTCGTCGTCGTCGTCGTCGTTGTCGTGGTCGTGGTCGTGGTCGTGGGCGTCGTCGTCGTCGTCGTCGTCGTCGTCGTCGCCGTCACCTCAGATCCATGCGACGGCAAGTGTTTGTCGTACTTCTCGGTATCTGGAGGCCTTCCCGTGGCCCCCACGCCGTCAAGGATTAGCCTGGCGAAGGTCCCAACCATAAGCAGTGATACGTACCGCAGTTGTGAGTACCATCTTCGGTGGATCCTCCTATGCGGCCGCGAAACGTTTGAGGAGTGTGCCAAAGTGGCCCGTCGGCGGCAGGCGGCCGTTTCCAAGGGTGCTTTTGGTTGAGCTCCCTATGGAGCCACGAAACGTCCGAGGGGTGTGCAGAAATTGGGCGGCACCGACATGCGGACCGGCCTTCGTTGTTACCGCCTCAGTCCACGAAACGTGCGAGGGGTGCGCCAAATGTGCGGGATGGAACCGCATGCGGGCGTTGCCACTGGGGCCTCAGGTGGAGCACCCTGTGGGTCCACGGAACGCGTGAGGGGTTCGCCGAAATGGGGGGGAACCGCATGCGAACGCAGCCGTTGGGGCTTTCGGTGGAGCTCCCTGTGGGGCCACGAAACGTGTCACGGGTGTGCCGAGATTGCAGGGTGGCGGCATGCGGGCTTTGCCATTGGGGCCTTCGGTGGAGCTTCCTACGGGGCTACGAAGCGTGTGAGGGGTGTGCTGAAATGGCGAGATGGCGGCATGCGGGCCCTGCCATTGGGGCCTTCGGTGGAGCTCCCAATGAGGCCATTAAGCGTGTGCGGCGTGTGCTGAATTGGCGAGGTGGCGGCATGCGGGCCCTGCCACATCCTGCCATTGGGGCTTTCGGTGGAGATCCTCCTTATGGGGCCAACACGTGTGAGGGGTGTGCTGAAATGGCGAGGTGGCGGCATGCGGGCCCTGCCATTGTGGCTTTCGGTGGAGCTCCCTACGGGGCTACGAAGCGTGTGAGGGGTGTGCTGAAATGGCGAGGTGGCGGCATGCGGGCCCTGCCATTGGGGCTTTCGGTGGAGCTCCCTACGGGGCTACGAAGCGTGTGGGGGGCGTGCTGAATTGGCGGGGTGGCGGCATACGGGCCCTGGCACGAGGGCTTTCGGTGGAGCTCCCAATGGGGCCACGAAGCGTGTGAGGGGTGTGCCGAAGTGGCGAGTTGGCGGCATGCGGGCCCTGGCACTGGGGCCTTCGGTGGAGCCCCTCATGGGGCTACGAAGCGCGTGAGAGGTGTGTTAAAATGGCGGGGTGGTGGCATGCGGGCCTTGCCACTGGATCATTCGGTGGAGCTCCCTATGAGGCCACGAAACGTGTGAGGGATGTGCTGAATGTTTGCCGATGGTGATGGCGATGGCGAGGATCGTTGTGGTAATGAAGCTGGTAACGACGGTGGCGGTGTTGATGATGCTGCTGCTGCTGCTGATGATGATGATGATGATGATGATGATGACGATGACGATGACGATGACGATGATGATGATGATGATGATGATGATGATGATGATGATGATGATGACGATGACGATGACGATGACGATGACGATGACGATGACAGTGACGACGATGTTGATGATGACGATGATGATGGTGATGATGATGTTGATGATGATGGAGATGCTGCTGCTGTTGATGACGATGCTGATGTTGATGCTGATGCTGATGCTGCTGCTGCTGCTGATGATGATGATGATGATGATGACGATGATGATGATGATGATGGCGTCGATGGTGATGATGATGCTGCTGATGCTGATGCTGCTGATGCTGATGATGCTGATGATGATAATGCCGGTGATGCTGATGATGGTTGTGATGGTGATGGTAATGATGCTGCTGCTGCTGATGCTGATGATGATGCTGATGATGATGATGATGATGATGACGATGATGATGATGATGAGGATGATGATGATGATGATGATGATGATGATGATGATGATGATGATGATGATGATGCTGATGACGATGATGATGATGGCGTCGATGATGCCGATGATGACGACGAGGACATGCGGAGGGCAGAGGTTGGGATGGAAGGAGGGAGGAGGGGGAGGAGGAAGGAAGGAAGGAACGCGGGGCGCTGTCTCTTCAAAACGAGGACCCAACACCACAGGATGGTTGGGAACTACTCGGGATGAAACTCCGGTCCTGGAGAAGGGGTCGAGACCTACGAGAGTCCACTTAACGAACACTTGTAACGTCTCAGGTGTTGCCACAGGTGTCCCTGGCCCAGGGTGTCCCCAGGATTGCTGGGGGGGCCTCGATGAGCGATGCCAGAAAACGGGGTCTGTGCCGACATTGGCGCGTAAGATGCCCGCGTAAGGTCGCGCGTAAGCGCCCTCTCTTTCAAAGTAGCGTACCGCGCTGGCGGCCCGCGTAAGCATCCGCGTAAGGTCGCTGTGTCATCTCGCGTGAGACCCCCTTTTGATCGTCGCTCAGATGGCCTCCAGAGCACCCCGCACGAGGCCCAGAGGGTCCCAGGGGATTTTGAAAAAGCTGGAGACATGGGCCAGGCCCACTTCTAGCAACACCCGAACGTCGGAGGAGAGGTAAGTCGTCGTCGGCGTCGGCGGCCTGCCCCCCTGTGCAGCGGGTTTTTGTTCCACATGGGGCCGCATGCATTTGTTTTGTTCGCAAACGCCGAGCCCCGAGCCACATTCAGCATTCGGCCTACACTCGTCCCCGATGCTGCCTTGCGAATCCTTCCTCTTCCCTCATCGTCATCCTTCCTCTTCCCTCCTTCCACCTCCTCCTCCCTTTCTTCCTCCTCTCTGGTCCCTTCTCCTAATCATCAATCGTTCCTCTCTCCTTCCCTCCCTCCCTTCCTCCTCCCGCATCCTTTCCCCTCCTCCTCCTCGTCCTTCTCCTCCTGCTCCTGCTCCCGCTCTTGCTCCTCCTCCATCTCTTATAGCGTACTTGGCAGTCCTCCTCCCCTCCTCTTCTTCCTCCTCCTTCCAGCCCTTTTCAACAGCTCGCGATCGATTTTTTTTAAAGCAAGAAGCCTCATTCCTTGAACCTCGGTTTGGGATTTCCCCTCAGGCCACTTTGGGCCAGTGCGGCTCAGGCCAAGTTTGGTCAATCGCTTGGCTCACGATTTCCTACCATGTTTGCTCAATATCGTCTTGGATGTCAGACGTCTATCGAGAATGTCGATCGGGGGCTTTTTTGCCCCGATGCGACCATACTGAAGAGTGGGAGGGTAAAAGCAGTGGAGCGCAGCGCTGCCTTTGTTTCTCGAAGCGTCTCGCCACCGTGTGAAAATCACCGACAGCCGCTACTCTGCGATTGCCAGCGCTTGCGGAAAAGCCAGGCAGTGGCAACTTGCGTTGTCGTTTCTTAGCGAGTTGGTAGACGTGAAGGTGGAACGCGACGTCATCAATTTCTTCGCTGGGACCAGCGCGTGCGAGAAAGGCAAGCAATGGCCACTGCGGACAGTCATTTGCGGCGCCCCCTGGGCAGGTGCTGATGCGCTTCCTGCAGGAGGTGGACGAGAACCATGTCGAGGCCCGTCGAGTTGTTTCTGCAAGAGATGCTCCGTAGGCGAAAACACCGCCACCCCGCAGATGCGGGGTGCTTTTCCCGCGGATGCCCCGCGCAGAACATATTCGTGCGACCGCGTGTCCGCGGGATCGCGCCCTGGAATCCAGACCGCGAGGGTGCGGATGCGGACATGTTCGCCACTCGTGAACAGCACGGCGGGGGGCGCTCGTTAAGGAATGTGCCCCGGGGGCTTCAGACCCTGGAGCATTCCTTATCTGAGGAGGTCGGCGGTGATATCCATGGCCAGTCCACGATTGGTGTCCCACCAGCTTCCAGACCCTGGATTCCTTACTCAATGGTTCCTCATCCAATGCCCTCACCGCGAGTGGCCTGGCGGCGGGTGCGGGCGTGCGCGGGGGGCGGACACCGGCGGCGTCGAGCCGTGAGTTGGCCCTCTGGCGCGAGTGTGGCGCGGGCGGGGCGCGGTCGCTCGTGCCCGCGGTGGAATCCGACTGCCTGCGCAGGCCTCCAGGGGCCCTTGAAGTGAGAACAAAAAAACGCCCTCGCCGTACCGATCACAGCAACCAGAGAGACGGCCTTCTCTCATCCCGCGGGCGCTCACCGTGCCGATCATAGCGGCGCGGGGCGGCGCGGCGCCGCCTGGGAGGGGAAGGGGGAAGAGGGGGGGGGGGGAAGGGGAGGAGGAGGAGGAGGAGGAGGAGGAGGAGGAGGAGGAGGAGGAGGAGGAGGAGGAGGAGGAGGAGGAGGAGGAGGAGGGGAGGAGGAGGGAGGAGGGAGGAGGGAGGAGGGAGGAGGGAGGAGGAGGAGGGAGGAGGGGGAGGAGGGAGGAGGGGGAGGAGGGAGGAGGAGGAGGAGGAGGAGGAGGAGGAGGAGGAGGAGGAGGAGGAGGAGGAGGAGGAGGAGAGGAGGAGGAGGGGAGGAGGAGGAGGAGGAGGAGGAGGAGGAGGAGAGCAGACGGCCTTCTCTCATCCCGCGGGCGCTCCTGCTCCGCTTCGGACCCCCGAGGGCCTGCACCGCTCGATCCACGGCCGGAGGAGGCCCGCCCGGGCACGAGGCGGGGGCTCCGGTCGTGAGCTCCCGTGCGGCGGTGTGCGCGTGCGCGCCAGCGGGTGCTCCGGCGCCTGCACGGCGTTGGAGGCCTGGAAATGTCGGGGGTCGATAGACCTCCCAGCCTGACACGTCGATCAAGGAATTGGCCGTTTTCGGTTTGCGAGAGGGCCCCCGTGGAGGGTGACGTTCGGGGAAAGATCGTGCGGCGGCGCGATTTCGTTCTCACGGCGCCTGGTCCTCGGAGGAGTGGAGAAGGAGGAGGAGGATGAGGAGGAGACAATTCCATCACGTCGTATTTTCACACTCTCGTGACCCGAGGGAAGGGTGTGGAGGAAGGAGGAGAAGGAGGAGGATGAGGAGGAGGAGGAGGAGGAAAAGAAGGAGGAGGAGGAGGACGAGGAGGAGGATAGTGGCGACGAGAAGGAGGATGAGCACAGATGACAATAACGAGGTGTATAACAATTACGTGTTGAAGGGTGAGTGGTCGGAGGAGGATGGCTTCGGGGGGCCAGGGAGGTAGGGCGGAAGGAAACGGTTGAGGAGGTTCGGGAAGGGCAGGATGAGGGAAACATGAAGATGATGAGGAGCAGGAGGAGATTGAGGATTATGGCGAGGAGGACAGACGATAATGACAGAACCGCGAGGCCGAGGAAAAGGACTTATGAATCAGGACAGAGGATGAGGACGATTTGAGAAGGAGGGAAGATGACGAGGAGGAGGAGAAGGAGGACCAGTGCAAAGCCAAAAGGCATCAACGATGTTGCAACAAGCCTTCCCTCCGAGATCCCTCTTCATACGTCCCGAAAATAATCTATCGCGAAGGCCTTACGCCGACCCTGAAGGCGTGACCTCCCCCAAGACCCCCGCACCCCAGGGGTGCAGATTATTCTACTCCGGGACCACCCCCCACCACCGGCGGGACCTCCCTCGGGAACCCCCGCTGGCAACCCCCTCGGGGCCCGGGACCCTCGCTGGCAAACCTTCTGCCAGGAGGACCGCTGGGACCCCAGACAGGGGGCCTACGGTGGAGCTCCCTGTGGGGCCACGAAACGCTGCTCTGGGTGGGGGAACGGACAATCCCACTGGGGCCTTCGGTGGAGCTCCTTATGGGGCCACGAAACGCTGCCCTGGGCAGCATTCTGACCCGGTACCACGAGACCCCCGCTGGCGACCGCCCCCCGGGACCCGCAGACACCCGGGGGGGGTTTTCGGACCCGGCACCATCCCCTAACCACCACAGGCGGGACCTCCCCTGGCACCCCCGTTGGCGACCCTTCGGGGGCCCGCCGAAACCCCAAGCGGGTGGGTGGTAATCTGACCCGGGACCCGTCCCCCTGCTTCCCCCCGTACCTACCCCCCCCCCCAGCCGCCCACCAACCCGCGCCTGGGAAGAAAGCAAGGGAAGGGGATCGGCTTAATGACGACCTTCGTTTTCCTTCTTCGTTATTCGATTTCCTTGGACTGGCGACGACGACGTCGAAGACGACGACACCGTCTCACACACGCCGAAGATCCTCGGATTTCCATTCGGGGGAGTGCTGCATTAGAAGACAACCTTTTGATAATTGACAATTTTACCATACACGTTCTTGGGACTTCGACGCCGCGGAGCAGCGTGACTGTTCCAACAACGCGAATCAACGCTACTGTCGCGTCCTGACAATCCGAAATTCTGCCAGAACGCGATTCCTGGGATTTCGACCGCACGAGCCCTGGGAACATTTGCAAATTTTCAAGACGACCGTGCGGCACGCTGTGGCGAGAGCCTCAGTTTGAAAGCCACCCGCCCCTCCATCCTTGAGGCTACGGCAAGATTTTAAGACGAATGAGCGCGGCGCTGGGGCGAGAGCCACCTTTCGAAAACCACCCGCTCTCCATCCTTGAAGCTGCGGCAAGCTTTTAAGACGACTGTGCGCGGCGCTGGGGCGAGAGCCACCTTTCGAAAGCCACCCACCCTCCATCCTTGAGGCTGCGGCAAGCTTTTGAGACGAATGTGCGAGCTGCGCTGGCGCGAGAGCCACCTGTTGAAAGCCACCCACCCTCCATCTGTGAAGGCGACGATGACGACGACGACGACGACGACCGCTGTGGCGACGACGGCGGCGACGAACGCGGCGGCGACGACGACGATTGCTGCAGGGAGCAGCGGCGCCGGCGGCGACCAGCGGAAGCGGAAGCTCAGGCCTTGTCGCAGCTGGGTCAGGTGCACCAGGAGCGCGGCGAGTGGCCCCAGGCGGCGCAGCTGTATCGCAGGCTGGCGCAGCTGGAGCTTTTCACTCGCGGGGGGTGCTCCTTCCTCCCGTGCTATCCCCCTCCTCCCGCTCCTTCCCCCTCCTCCCCCGCCTCCCTCCCTCCTCCTCCCCCTCGTCCTCCGCCCCCTCCTCCCCCCTCCTACACCTCGTCCTCTCCCTCCTCCTACTCCTCGTCGTTCCCTCTTTCCCTCCACAGTTTCACAACATGAGGGCCGTCAAAGAGCGACCCGCGACGAAATAATTGTCGTGTGCGGACGCGGGAGGCTGGAGGTAGGAAACAATATCAGGCGAGAAGCACGAGAAAGAGTGAAGTCTCAAAGAGATGGGGGTATGCAGGGAAGAGGACCGAGAAAGAAGGAGCGACTTTGCAATCTGAAGGGCAATACGAAACGAGGAACGAGAGTGGTGAAGAAGTACTGACCGCTGGATCGAAAGGTACCTTCTGAAGCATGAAGTGACGCTGCTACGGGAAAGTATACAAGACATTGCAGGATAACTGATATTACGATTGATGAGGTAACAAGTCGAGAGGACGTTGATGACGAGAAGAAGGAAGCAGTTCTGGCAAGTGGATGGGTACCAGTAATAAGAGGGGGAAGGAGGATGTGAATTGGAGAGTAGGATCTCGAAGAGAACGAATAGCCCCAGGAGGTCTTTAGTTTTGATCCCCCCCTTTCACTCGGCAGTGACTAGGACTGGTCCTATAAAGCCTCTTCCTCCTCCCCCCTCTCCCGCTCCCCCTCCTCCACCTCCTTCTCCTCCTGAGTAGTAGGAGTAGGAGTAGGAGTAGTAGTAGTAGTAGTAGTAGTAGTAGTAGTAGTAGTAGTAGTAGTAGTAGTAGTAGTAGTAGTAGTAGTAGTAGTAGTAGTAGTAGTAGTAGTAGTAGTAGTAGTAGTAGTAGTAGTAGTAGTAGTAGTAGTAGTAGTAGTAGTAGTAGTAGTAGTAGTAGTAGTAGTAGTAGTAGTAGTAGTAGTAGTAGTAGTAGTAGTAGTAGTAGTAGTAGTAGTAGTAGTAGTAGTAGTAGTAGTAGTAGTAGTAGTAGTAGTAGTAGTAGTAGTAGTAGTAGTAGTAGTAGTAGTAGTAGTAGTAGTAGTAGTAGGAGTAGTCGTAGTAGTAGTAGTAGTAGTAGTAGTAGTAGTAGTAGTAGTAGTAGTAGTAGTACGTAGTAGTAGTAGCAGTAGTAGTAGTAGCAGCAGTAGGAGTAGTAGTAGTAGTAGTAGTAGTAGTAGTAGTAGTAGTAGTAGT